GTCGCAGGGGTGTCCCTATTTCTAAGCTTGAATGAAGCTGGGGCTGCCAGTCGTCTCGGCTGCAGCGTGCTGGGACCACAGGGCAAACATTAGGGTGTTGGTGCCATTTTCCTGGCCTGGAGCAGGTGTTGTTTCTCCTCTCCGGAGCTATTGCAAGGTCCCCCCGAGGCTCGCCTTTTCCTCCCCCTGTCTTGGCCCTGACATGCCTGGTGCCCATCTAAGCATCTGCTCCAGCTGACACTGGGAGCTCTTCTCTGATGGCTGAGGTGCCTGCTGCCTTCCCTTTCTGACCAATAGGATGGGCGTCCCTGACTTTGGGCAGCACCTCACTGCTTGTCCCCCTTTCTTGTTTCTGTGCAGGTGCTGGTGAGTCTGGGAAGAGTACCATCGTCAAACAGATGAAGTGAGTGGTCCCTGCACCATTGCTGCAGCCAACACCACGCAGACCTTGGCCATGGGCTCTGAAGCTGGTGGCTGCTGGGGAAAGCTCCCCATTGGTGTTGCTGAAGAACATGGGTGGGGGGCAGCATGCTGGAGTGCCCTGCAGAGGGCTGACCTTGCCTATGTCTCTCCCCTGCCCCAGGATCATCCACGAGGATGGCTACTCAGAGGAGGAGTGCCGGCAGTACAAAGCCGTGGTCTACAGCAACACCATCCAGTCCATCATGGCCATCATCAAGGCGATGGGGAACCTGCAGATCGACTTTGGAGACTCCTCCAGAGCAGTGGGTGCCCTCCTTCTCCCACCGTGTCTGGCAGGGGTGGGGGTTCCTGTGGGGCAAAAGCAGATGTGCCCAAAGCTGGACCAGGATTAAGGGTGGCTCTGCCCAAGCCCCGCTGCTCCCTGGCTGGCTGTGACCTCGTGTCCCTGGTGCTGAGGATGGGGGGACCCAAAGCGTAACCCATGGGTGGGTGCCCTGGCACAGCCCCTGATGGGTGCAAGGGTGGGGGTCCTGCTGCTTCACTTGGGTCTTGTCCCCATCCACCACTGGAGCTCCTGCCCTGCTGTCCGGGTGGGACACCGTGGGCTCTGGTCAAGTCCTTTGGGGCAGAGCGAGCCTTGATAACCCCATGCCGATGCTCGAGCCCTGGTTTTTCCTCGCAGGATGACGCTCGGCAGCTGTTTGCACTCTCCTGCACTGCTGAGGAACAGGGCACCATGCCGGAGGACCTGGCCAACGTGATCCGGAGGCTGTGGGCTGACAATGGAGTCCAAGCTTGTTTTAACCGCTCCCGAGAGTACCAGCTGAATGACTCTGCTGCCTAGTGAGTACCTCTGCTCCTCTCCCCCAGCTCGCCTGGATCTGCGCCCTGTGGGCCACGTCGCTTTTATTGAGCAACAGAAAATCCCCTCGGGGGCTGCTGTTCCCCATCACCAGGCTTGGGGGCTGATGCTGCCACTTCCCACCCGGCGCTGGGGCTAAGCCAGAGCAGAACTGGGAAGGCGGATGTTTCGAAAGCTGTTTCCTCCTCTGATGGGGTGCTGCATCCCCTAGGAGCAGGGCACTGGGCCATCCCCCTCCTGCTGCCGCTCTGTGCCCCCTACCCTTCCCTGGGGATGTTCTCCCCTGGCCTCTCTGAGATGGCTCCCCTCATGTGAGTACAGCCAGGGGTCCTGCCCATCCTCATGGACTTTTATGGGCCATGAAGGCAAGAAAAAGCCCCAAAGAAAGCACTGGGGATTCTTATGTCTGAACAGGATGAGTAGGATGCACAAGAGGCTTTTCTTTTTCTTTTTAACTTTTAACTTATATGGAAGGACTTGGCATTGTACTACTGCATTAGCCAGCAAACTAGTGTTTAGGTAGATAAATTGCCTGCATCTGGTTGGGTTTATCCCTGAAGAGATTTAATAAATAAGTTAATCTGCCTAAAGTATGATTGCTGGAGAGGGTGGTGTGGCCGAGGCTGCGCTCAGCTTGCATGGTGCCCTCCTGCCCTCTCTGCCCAGACCCCTTGTGGTAAAGCAGAGCTGGGAGGAGCTTGTGGTGTGCCAGGAAACCCCTGCCAGGGCTGGCCCCGACGGGGTTTGAGCACCCTTGGGACTTGCTTCTGTGCTGGGGGCTGCTTGATCCCTGCGTGCCAGCCCAGCCGTCCCCTCCTGCTTGGCACTGATGGGTCTCTCTTCTGCACTGAGGTCACTGAGGGGAAGAGGTTGCAGGAAAGCTCTGGGCAGGCGCCCACCCTGGAGAAGCTCCTACCGGTGCTTTCCTCCAGTGCCTGTGGCTTTCGCTTCTTCCTGCCTGGCACCTGCCCATGCTCCCCAGCCCCTGTCCTGCTCAGCCCCATTGCTCCCCAGCCAGCACTGGCATTTCCCAGGCAGTGTCGTGCTGTGCCGTGGGTGCTGGTTTGGAGGCACAGGAGACCTGGCAGGTGCCTGGCAGCTCGCACTCACAGCAGGAGCAAATATATCTGCAAATGGAGTGTCACTGGAAGTGCATTTGTGGAGCGTTTGGCACATTGCGGGGGTTGGACAAGCATTAATTAGGAGCCCCCTCGAGCTATTGCTCCAGCCTTTCTCCAGCCCCCCAGAGATGCTGGTGCAGTATTCAATGCCCTGTCCATCCCTGTGGGGTTGGTGCTGTGACCCTGGGGACGAGGAGCCCCGTGCCATGCCCAGCACGCAGCCCACCTGCTCCCCAGCCCTCTGCGTCAGCCCCTGGCCTCCTCCTCCACAGCCCCTTGGGGTGCCAGGAGCGCAGGGCACCAGGGCACGCGCTTGCCAGCACCCCGGGGCTGGGCATGAGGTCCGAGTGTCGCTGGTGCCGTGCATGGCCTTGCTGTGGTGTTTCCTGTTTTTTTTGTCAGCCGGAGGCCGCATGTGTTTCCGGCTGTTTTTTTTTTCCCCCCCCCCGCCCTTGCACCCGTGGTGGGATCCCGGGCACCCACGGCTCTGGCTTTGCCCTGGCATGCCAGAGGGTTTCCCAGGAGCTGGTGAGCAGCCGTGCTGCCATCAGAGCTGGGGATCCCCGTGGCCTCGCTAGCTGTAATCTGGCTTTCACCAGATTACGGAGCTGCAAAGGCCTTAATTAGCGCAAGCCTAATTTACTTAAAGGAGCCTGTTTATAATAACCCAATTAAAGCAACGTGAGCTGGAGAAATTGAAACCTGCCTTGATTCCCCTGGCACCCCTCAGTCAGTCTCAGCAGCTGCTTGGGGACTGAGCCACCACCGCTGCTGGGAGCTGGGGTCTGGTAGGGCCGGGCCAGGCAGCAGGGCAGGCGATGCCGCCCTGGGGGGCTCGGGGTGGGCAGCAGCCCCCAGCCGCACTGCTCCCCATCCCTCCAGCTACTCGCCTCCCACTTCCTCCCAGGACGCTGGCCCTTTGTGTTTTTTGACTATAAATGGCACGGCGCCATCGATTGTTTCCGCAGGCGCTGCGGCTGGTTGCTATAGCACTGAATACTTTCTTCTTGCCATTTCCCCCGTGCAAACGGCTGGGGGAACTGGGGGGAGCACCCTAGCCCCAGCTGTGTGTCCTGCCTGGCGCCCGGTGCCAGCACAGTGCCCCCCAAGCCCATGTTCCCATGTGTCCCCTTGCTGCCCAGGCAGCTGGCTGTCCTGCCCTGCCCTGCCTGTGTCTGGCAGGGCCTTGGGGTGACCCCGGGGTGCGGGTGGGGTCTACTGTGCTGCCTGGCTCGGCACTGCCCACCCCGAATGGACGATGCTGGGGTGTGGGCAGGGGACCCTGGGGTGGTGTGGGGATGCCCCATGGGATGCAGGATGACAGCTTCACCAGTGCCTTTCTGCTCTCTCCCCAGCTACCTGAATGACCTGGAGAGGATAGCCCGTGCCGACTACATCCCCACTCAGCAGGACGTGCTGCGCACCAGGGTGAAGACCACTGGCATCGTAGAGACCCACTTCACCTTCAAGGACCTGCACTTCAAGTACGTCTGACCCTTTCCCTTTTGGCTTTTCCAAGGCAAAAAAAAAAAAAAAATCCCCATTCCTCCCCATGTCAGGCTGGATCCTCCTTGAGTGCTGCATGTACCGAGGCCTCCTGGGTTTGCTCATGGTGGGAGCTGCTGCCTTGGAGAGAGCGGAAACCGCCGAAATAGCTGGAGCAGCCTCAAAAACGCCTCACAGGGCTCGGCCTGGGGGTGGATCCAGCCTCTGGCGAGGAGAGGAAGAGGGAAGCTGTTCTCCGAGTGCCATGACGCCTCTTCCACTGCGGGAAGGGCGCTGGGTGGGAGCCGGGGTCTTGGGGTTGGGCACTGGCGCTGCTGCTCACTGAAAATCCATGGGAAACAGTTAAGGCTCCAGTTTCTGAGGCAAAAGGCTGGCATTGTGTACATCCTGGGGGATTTAGTCACTTGGCAACGGAGCTGCTGACAGAAAGATCTACTGGGGTCCTCTCTGAGTGTGGGGGCCTCTCAGGGACTCCTGTGCCACCCCAGTGGGATGGAGGTGCTTGGTCACGCATTGCCAGGGCTGTGCTTTGGATGTGGCAGTGGGGCAGAGAGGACGGTCTGGGGTGGGGCGGGGCATAGCAGTGAGGAAGCCTCCTTGCCAGCCGGGCAGCTGGTGGTGAGTGTGGCGCTGCTGCCAGGCTCATCTCCGTGGAGGCAGGGCATCCTCTGCTGCCCACAGTGGGAGAGGCACTGGGACCATCCCCTGAGCCCTGGTACTGCCCACAATCCTGCTGAGCCCGTGGCTACTTGGCTGAGCGCCAGCGGATCCCCTTGGTCCAAGGTCTCTGACCAAACCCTGCAGGCGCCTGCTCCGGAGCAGGTCTCCGAGAGCATCTCCTGGAGCTTGGCTCCAGGGAACATCATGCTGACACCTGCTGGGAAAGGCAGCCTGATCCTGCCTGGCTCACGGCGGGGTTTTGCTCTGGCTGGGAAGTGAGCCTGGACACCTCCCTGCCCCTGAGATGGGCAGCAGGTGCCGGAGTGGATCTGCGGCACTTCAAAATCCCTGGGGCAGAGGCACTGTGCTCTGCCTGCCCTGGTGCTGCTCCTGCTCCAGGCATCTGGGGAAACTGAGGCAGGGCGTGGGGCGAGGGTGGTGGGGCCGGGAGCTGCCGCCCATCGCCACGCCACCTCCTTGCTGCAGGATGTTCGATGTGGGTGGCCAGCGGTCGGAGCGGAAGAAGTGGATCCACTGCTTTGAGGGGGTGACTGCCATCATTTTCTGCGTGGCCCTGAGTGCCTATGACCTGGTGCTGGCTGAAGACGAGGAGATGGTGAGTCAGAGGGGATGGAGCTGGCACCATGTCTTATCCCCTCCTTGGGGGGCTGGGGGAGCACCCCCTTCTCTGGTGCCCACAGTGCCCTGGCCAGTGTGGCCCAAGCCTTGCAGGGCCATCAGCAGCCTCTGCCTGGGCAGGCAGGAGTGGTGGAGGGGCAGCAGTGGGACGGGTGCTGCCTGGGGGTCCCTGCCCAGCTCAGGCTGCCATCTCCCCTGCCAGAACCGAATGCATGAGAGCATGAAGCTCTTTGACAGCATCTGCAACAACAAGTGGTTCACGGACACGTCTATCATCCTCTTCCTCAACAAGAAGGACCTCTTTGAGGAGAAGATCGTGCACAGCCCCCTGACCATCTGCTTCCCTGAGTACACAGGTATCGCTGGACACTCGGTGACTGACCTGACAGGAGGAGCAGGCGGTGCCTTGCACAGGCAGTGTCACAGGAAATACTGGGGATGGAGATGGTGGCTCTCCTGTACCCGGGAACAGCACATTGGGGCAGCGAGTGGAGTTTGGTGGTGTTTGAGGTTCCTCAGGGGATGGGGGAAGATGGGGGGGACAAAGAGGCAGCAGCCCTGGGGGGGATTTAGCTGAGGCTCACTGTGCAGAGCATCAATTTGGCATCAGGGTGGTGGTTGCGACGGTGTGGGGAGCCAAGCCGAGACCA